AACTTACTTAGTAGTCCAATTATTGTCACAATGTTCAGGGTAGTTTATCAGATAAAGAGTGTCAAGATTTCGCCATTCAGCGATGGTTGTTGAGTCCATAAGATCAGTCAATGTCTTGTCGGATATTATCAGTACTGCATTGGTTTTCCACTATTTTGTGTGGCACCTTTCACTTGTGATGTATAACTTAGACGCGCATACACGGAAAACGTGAGTACATTTGAATTCAAAGAATTTTTGAAATGAAGATATTTTTCTGTACCGTATACCTTGTAAAAGTTATTGCATTTTCACCGAGCGATTAGTCAACAAGATTAACTACCAAATCGTAATCTTGAACAATTTATAAACGTAGTCGGCACGTAACGATCGCTGAATTAATTTTAAGTGATAATGTACTGGTTTGCTCGTCTGTACGTACAGCATCGTGCAAAATAGCTCTAATTTCTAATTTGATGACGGTTAATATACTGTTAACCGGTACACGTTCTTGCATTTGAATCAAGTTCCAAGGCAATCAAAGCGTTAGAAGCTTTCAGACACGGAACTTTATTTTAAGCGGGTTGGTAATTGGTGGTTATTGTTATTTATTTGACAGCGCACCTTCTTAATTAGTTTGAAAATATGTATAAAGTGTGCAGTGGATTTAAATATATTCCTCAAGCCTGTCAACCGAACGCTAATTTTTAAGTAATTAACCGTGAGTAGTGGGACCAATGAAAGTAATTAGGAAAATGCTGCGTACAGCTAATGTTAAAATAATGGCCCGTTTCCGTGTTTTCCGTACAAAACTACAAGGTTTTAGATTAAAATTGCTCTTAAAATGTATAGTGTCTTTCAGTACGGCAATTTACGGAACATGATCAAATGAAATGACTAAAATTGTTCCAATACAAGTCTAATCTTTATTATGCTTTAACGTTACACTTTTTTAAATTTATTTTATGTGTGTGAAAGTGACTACCTACCTTTTAACGTGTCACAACGCCACTGATTTCCATTTTGTGCACAATTACCTTGGTACTCATTTTTTATAGTTCTTATCTAAATGTTTTTTCTTTACATTAAAATATAGCGCCAACATCGAGTACTATGTTCACTTATAATTGCAGAAGAGGTTTGTATTTTACCGAGTAAATTTGGGTTGTTTAGGTAATGAAAATCTGTTGCCTAGCAATTAGAAGCAATTGCTAAAAGGAAACAGATTTTCATTCTGAACGAGTAACCATACAGCCCCAATCAACCCAATATTTACCCCAAACTTGATATAAATACATCAATGTTTGTCCGTAACGAGAACCCCTAAATCCGCGACAAACGTTTTACGATGGTCGCAGTAATGCCAGCAAACTTTATCATAAGTGTGACGGCATTAGTGAGAAGATCATGTTTACCACTTGTGCTCGTTATACCCTTATGTAAATAAAACTGGTAAATATCATATAGGCCATCCGACACTTTACGTAGGGACTTTAGCTTGCAAGAACATTTCATTTGTTCCAGTCCAGTATTGTATCTGAATCAAAGGACTTTTTGAAACTGTTTACAAATCCTCTGGTTCAGGTACAATCCGTTATACCTATTAATGATGATGCGGTAGTTGTAAATTGGAATAGACCTGAGGGTGAGTGTGAGTCCCTAAAGACTATTAATGTGCCCATAGGCGCGAACACTACAGCTCACGCACGTTTAGAGCGCTGTAGTTATTTGGAGAAGTTGGACTGTCGCATCCTTTACTACGACAGTATAATATTTGTGGCGAAACCCGGCGACTGGAATTCGGTTGGGGAAGATATCCTCGGCGAGATCACCGACGAAATGAAGGCGTACGGTAAAGGAAGTTTGTTAGTGCTGGACCAAAGAACTACAGCTATAATGTGTTTTTCATCAGTGACCAGACAATTAAATCAGTGTGTAAGGTGAAGGGCATTACCTTAAAGGATTAAACTATATAAACTCGCGTATTATAAACTTTGATTCGATGAAAGATATGATGCTTAGTGCTTGTTTACAATGAACGTATACGTAAGAAATACATAACACTTAAAAATTTCGCAAAGTTGAACTGTATAGAAACATACGAAGGTGTTAACAATGAACGTAATTTTTACGTACGTATACGTAAGTGGTATGGAAGTCTTCATTGTAAACAAACACTTAGCAATAGTAAAGACTCTGTTTATGTATATAACGATAGGACGGTAGCTAGAGATAAGTGTTATAATGTAATAAGTAGACCGAAAAGCAAATAGTACAGAATAAGTTACTCTAATCGGCGAAGGGTTGAAAACTTTGAAACTTTGCAATTTGGCTATAAGGAATAAAAACAATACACCATAAGTATTATTTCCAACTCGACATCTAAATTAGTCGGCGCGAACTGTAGAGGGTCCATCGCCAGGAACTCGAGAATACTTTTCTGATCATCCTAATGATTAGGAGGCGGTGGATACATTCCTACGGATAAGTAGCCCATACAGAATAGAGGTGGAGCCCCCCCCCCCCATCTTCGCTATCACTCATGATTATAGTCAGATTACCGCCCGGTAATGTTAGCGACGTCGACAACGAATTTCTGAAGTCCTTCTTTAAGGGTAGGAACGACGACGTTGCATTAACAATAGCCTAGGTTTTGCAATACATCATCTTTCTCTCATCATCTTGTTTACTTATGGTACGCTTTGGTTTTGCTTTGTATGCACTCATTTCGCAGATTACAATAACGTCAGGCTTTAGGGAATCCCAAGGTCATGATCCTGGAATTTCCTAAGGTTACGGTTGTGACGAAGAAAATTTAGAAGAAAAGAAAGAATCCAGCGTTACGGCTCCAGCTGCTCTCGGTGGTATGGCTGGTTCCACGATACTCGAAAAAAACTGCTCGTAGAATTTAGAATTTTCGTTAAATTGAGCCGTACAGCAAAACTAGAAACCTGCTCCTGGTGATCTGGAAATGCAAGACGAATAACGAGGACAAAATAGAGGAAAGTAGCGAAACAGGAATATTATTTATTGTAGGGCGAACGATGGTGAATGAGAAATGGCAGTGATAACAGAGAATTAAGCAATAAAATCACGGTACGAGATCTCGTCTCACAGTAAGACACAAAAATTGACTAAAAATTAATAAAACGGATGGTAAAATGACTGAATTAATGTAATGGTTTTTTATAAATAAACTTAACGGGCAATCATAAATGAATAAAGGTTGGAGGTTGCTTAGCTATTGTTCCTGGCTCCTGAAGTTGTCCAGCGGTTGTTCGGCAGACTCGGTGAGTAGACCAGTGGCTAAATATGGGGAAAATAAGGACAGAGAGGAGGGTAGAAGGGAGCAAATGGAAAAGAACTTTGAGGGGTATCGATAGAAGACTGAAGACGGACGACGAAGACTGAAGACTGACGACGGACGACTGAAGACTAAAGACGGACGACTGAAGACTGAAGACGAAGAGTTCGAAGTACGGTACAGGTATAACAAATAAGAAGTAAAAATACAAGGCCCTAAAACAAAGACCCAAAATTACAAAGTAAAACTATCACGAAAAGGCTTCTTACGAGATGGTGTGGGCCTTAAACGTAGAGACAATATAATATTTTGTGTGCTTAATTAACTTGGTGGTAGCAAATGAACGCTTGGATCAAAAGGGGTTGAAATCCGGCGAGCAAGAGATAAAAAATATATATTGGTTGTATATGAAAACTCGGAAACACAAGTGTGCCTCTCCTCTATTCTTGATCCCCAAAATAGGGTTTATAAGGATGAATACTAAATCCCTTTGTTGAGTAGGGTGAATTTCAAGAGGGTAATAATCCTAAAATTTTTGGATAAATGCGGCTATAAAAACTTCGCACCTCACTACTATAGTACACGACAAAATTGACAATAATCGAAAATGGAAAACGAAACGTAGAAGATTTTGAAAAAAAAACGAACAGTAATACCAATAATTAAGGAACATAAAAGTTAGCGGGAAATAGAAGAATAGATTTTTGAAAAGAGCGGGAAAGAATAGCGTAGTTTAGACGAAATACCAACAGATGGCCCTGAAAACGAATCAGAGGCGTAACATTGAATAAAATGTATTACACATAAGCTTAGAATATTAGAATAGTGAAAACAGTAATGAAATAAGAAGTGTTTAGAACGTGAAAAGGAAGAGACAATCGTAAGAAGAGGGCAATAATCGAAAGAAGCGAAGAAATCAAAAGAAGAGATTTAATGAAATGAGTACGCCTATGATATGAAATTCAAAATAAAATAAACAAATTCCTAACCTAAAAATCAAAATAAATAATACAAAAATAAAGTAAAGATTGACCTGTAACACGGTCTTGGAATTTAGTCCCAAGGTCACGCCCTTGGATGCTGGACCGAAGTTTGGGCCTGGATAGTGGACCAAGCCCTTGGGGTTTCGCGCTATTATAAAAATATAAATTCGGGTTAAAAGCACAGGTGATTAGGGTCAAGAAACTAAAATTGCTATAAGGGAATTTGAATAACTTCAATCGAAAAGTAAGATCATTACCTAGTAGGCTGAAAAACCTAAAACATTTGAAAGCGAAACGGTATCCAAAATTCGGCATAGTCTTTATATAACTTTAATCGATACAACTGGACTTTCATTAAACGATGCTTGTGGTCACTTTGCATCCCAAAATATTTTGCAGAATTTGTACATTATTCCAAATGAGATCATTGCATTATTCCGAAGCTCTCACAGAAGGAAGTGCGACAGCGCGTGAAAACATGCTTTCCGGTGTGGCGAACATTTCGGAGGTAACCATTCAAAACCATGTGGAAGGTGTCTGTTGGCACACTTCATTAAATGTCACGATTATTTTAACACTGATTTTAACGGTTGGAGGTAACACTTACATACATACACATACATAAATGAAACAATTATAGTAGATTAAACCATATAATTACATGAAACAGTTAATACATTTCGCAAAGAAAAAAGCGATTTCCTATAAACTAGTTACACAAATTATTTGTCCATACACTTGCATATTTTGAAGTATTCAAATATTACCGACATTACATCAAGAAATCACAGTGCGACGGATTTTAATGGTATTAGCAATATTTGATTAATTGTAAATTCAACTTTTTTAAACACGGTTGAGATTTTTATTTCCGAAATATTATTGCACGTTGGGGTAGGGTCAATTCTCAACATACTTACTAAAATCTGACGTGATTTTAAATTTCAATTGTCTGTGCTATTTAAAAACGGACTATTGAATCATCCCCAAGACATATGAATGTCTAATTCTCTTGGCGGCTTTCCAACAGGGTGTAGTAAGAAAACGACGCTTTTAGGATCTGAGAACAATATTAAAGTACTTAGGAAGGATCTCAACTTACGTTCACCACTTACTGTAACTGCTGCAACCATCGTAAGCGGTGCAAATTTTCCAATCGTGAATGAAACTGACCTCTGAGCTCTTGCTATACATAAAACTAAACATGTTTGGAATGCCAAGTTGGTTTCGATAAAATCAATTTCGTAAAATGAATAAGCGAAAGCTTCATTCTCCGTAATCACCTCCTGTGTAAAATAGCAGTCTACGAAAAACAGTGCCAAAGGTCCAATGATATAGTACAAAAGTTGTAAATGTTCGGTGCCAAATTGCTGCATCTGTCGAAAAACTTTATTTAAGCAGAGTTTGGCCCCTATGTTAGGTTACTTACGTTTGATATACGCAACATTGCGAGACAAGCAAAAAACGACATGTTAATAAAACTGGCCAGCACACATTTGTTAAATATCAATTCAGTTTCGCTTGCAACTTCGACGATGAAATTATAATGTTCAACAACTTTTTTCAATTGCTTTTGAAAGTATACGAAAGGTATATCACGTTGACAGATCAACCACCTTTCCAATCGGTTCTCCATGCAAAATTCTTCCTTTGCGTTTGCAATAAGCTCTTGAACGTTCAACTTAAGATATTTAAAGTGAAGTTTCAATTGTATCATGATGCTTAACTTGATGGTGTCCATTACCACGTATTCGAAACATAAGAATGCGATTACCGTGAGTTGCAAAACTAAACAGCCCGTAAAGCTGTAATTTAACGCCCATCCAGGCATAGTACCAAATGGTAGGGTTTCATGCGAGTGTTGCAAATACCAAGGGAGTATGGTTACTGTTAAACAGATAGCGACTAGAGGAAAGATAATGTAACCCTTAAACACTTTGATATTGCATAGAATCAATAAAAACTAACACGTACCACTTTTGATGTCCTTTTTTCAATTTCTCTGGAAAGGTCGGTAGCTCTGTACGCGTTGTGTGCTGATTTTTCCAACGAAACTAAGAGATCGGCGAGTTTTGATCTATATATTCTCATTATAGTACTACGTGGAGCACCTTAAAAATATTTGTGAGTATAGAAAAGAAATGCTCCAATATACAATTTGCAATTCCAGCGGCGTAAATGAGGTCTTTGATGTCATTGTCTAAACTCCACTTTCGGGCGAAGTATAGAGCGCAATACGCATAAACCCCTAACAAAAAGGTGTACGACGTGATACTAACACGATGGTTTACTTCCTTCGTTAATATTAACCCCGATAATCTTGCATATCTTCTCAGTCCTTCAAAGTATCGTGTTTGTCCATTATTTGCCATAATAATACTCGATCATAAATCGGCGAATGGATGATAACGACTAATTTGTTCTACGTAGCATCTGTACGTTTATAACCAAACATCGATGGAGGAAATTTTAAAATATGCATGCAACAGATGGCGTAAATACCGTATCATAAGACAACTCAGAATTTGTTCTCGTTATTAGCTGACGAGACTGCTTCGATAACCCTTTAATCCTTTTCATCCTTGAATGTGTTATCAAATATGTATTCTAAACGACAATCCCACGGAGGCTAGCTGGCCCTTGCGTTATTTCATATTCAGGAACAAACACATAATAACTACCTATAACTTGCTCATTTCCAGAGTTTTTATACAGTCCTTAATTACAAACCTATTGACATCTACTTTGCGCGATATCCCGTGCTTTTTTCCAGGAAACAAAGAGAAAGGGCGCATTAAACTTGGCACGTAAAGCTACAATTATTCTTTCTCCATTCGGCACAGGTCGAGAGAATCTGTTATAATTTACATCATCAATTTCCTTGTGTAACATTCCTTTATATGAGAACTTCTGAATCTCTTACAAAGGATTTAAGGTAAATTATAGTTCCTCTTGAAACGGTACTATTAAATTATAACTCCAAATTAAAGGCTTCGTGTGTACTTTTGATGCAAAAAGGGCAGGAATGGAAACACAAAGCAGTACGAAACAAGGACAATTCAGATTTCAAAGTTGAGTATAGAGTGGTAAACTGGTCGGTTGTTCAACCATGGATTAAACCGAGTAAATTACTTTAGAGTTTAAAACTATAAAATAATCATAGTTTAATGAATTACACCGTTACGGTTTAACGTTAAACTCTGTTTAAATTGGAGGTTTAATTAAACAGCGGAGGACGACCGTTTAACGCTAAACCACCAAACATAACCTCACATACCTACACAGTCAATCAAAAGCGAAAATATTCTTACTCATTCTCGACCGTTGATCTCATGGTTTGTTCTTCAAGATGGATTAGTCACCGATTGCATTACACCCCTCAGTTAGTTGGTCCCATTCAGCGTCTTTCATACGGTTGTTAATTACCTTCGTCTTTTTTGCACTTTATATTAAGGATGTTATGGTTATCATGGGGATCTCCGAAACCATAAAAGATACGACGATGACCAAATTAGGGAAAAGTTAAGCAATTAAACAGTTATTATCATGCAATCCGATTACTTCCGAAGATATGCTAGATAAACCGAAATATGTCGATTTCGGTTTTATTTTTTTCTCATGTTATTTGAGCAGACCAACTCCATTAAGAGCGATGCGCATTCTAGAGTTGAGAGCTTCTCGTGACAGGCCAGATTGTTTGTTTGATTTTAAAGTCGTATGTACTGACACTGCCCTTTCAGGACCTGCACTGTGCGGTGTCAGAGAAATATACGACTGCACCAACTTTCTTAAGATTGAGTGAGGTTGAGATACCTTTAGAAAGTGGCACAACTTTCCAGTAGATGATGTAATACTAGAAGAAGCAGGGAGTTGTTCAGTTGCAAACAACCCTACAACGTCATCAGTGAAATCTGATACTTTGTCTTTACCAAACAGGCCTTCAACGTCTGCACGAACTGCGTTCACAAGCTCAGTAGGATTTTTAGAATTTAATAATCTATTAATCCTACTGCAGATTTCCTTCTGGTCGTCGGAAAGTCGTTATAAGATAAACTCTTTGAGAATACTCTAAAAGATTTACATGAGGTTATTTTTTAAAGCAGTTTTTAAATTACCATACATTTAGAATGTCAATCATTAAAAAAAAATATGTCGGCACTACCCATAGTCACTGGGCGACAAAATCCCAGCACTGGGCGACACTTGTGTCGCCTAATTAACATGTTATTTTATGCCCTGTTCCAATGTAAAATTTATGAGCCTTTGAAAAGTTGTCGGTGCATTACAGAGACCAAAAGGCATTGCATTGAATTGCCAATGATTTTTTGCTGTCGAAAATACTGTGTACTGTTTCGAATCTTCATCCAACGGAAGATGATAAGTAAGCTGATGTCACGTCAAAAGTTGAAAAGAGTGATGAACTTGATATATGATCTACTGCTTAATAAATATGGATGATGGCAATTAAAATTCCATGCGTTCTAACTTACATTGTCAGTTGTTTTATTTAATGAAGTGTATCTGGATACGGTTCTCGACAGAAAGAGGAAAATGAAAGTGGACAATCTACAACCACTACGCGGTAAAATTGCGTTGTTAACTTCCAACAACAGATGGAGCCATCTATTGAAAGTTACGAGGATGCTTTGTAGTGGAGAAACATTTATGCTTTAATAGTCTCTATCCAAAATAGCCATAAATAAAAGTTTAAAGGTAATACAAATCCGACATAGAGTAATGTCAGGATAGGCTCGAGTAAGTGTAATAAATTAGAAAAAAACTAATTGTCTCATATTGTCTAATCGCATGGTCACTGTTGGTCATACTGAATCTTTTGCTAAAGAAACAACGGCAATCGAGTGCGTTTTAAATTATATAGATCGCTAACTCTCATTATTTCGTTTTCTTTTCTTTGTCCTTTCGATTCCGCCTAAAATATATCCAAACAGTACGTAGTGCACAGTACACGCCACCGACCACAACCATAAGACTCGCTACCAAAACCACTAGCACATCTAACAATAAGTATTTATACCACGGGAAATCTTTTATCGGACTGTTCAGGTGTTCAGCACCCTTGTGGCGTATAACGTATTCGGTCCACCATACGGCACGCTCCATTCCCGTCATAGGCTGGTCTAAGGCTAATCGGGCCAACTCCTTCACTCTATTCCGGTACCTTAAAAACGACGCGTTACCGATTTGATCTGCTCAACACTGTACCTACCTCGGTTCGCGAATTACTTCAAGGACTTTGTCCCGAAATTCCTCCTTCTTCAAGTTCGCGTAGTCCACCGACAATCCCATCCCCTTGTATACGATCGCCTTAGCATTATAACCTTGGTCGGCGAAGAACGGCATGACAACCATTGGAACGCCACTATAAACTGCTTCTTCCATTGACTGCAAACCTCCCTGCGTTACAAAGAGTTTTATGTTGCGGTGCCCTGCAACAAAAAATGCACTGATTCGGTCGTCGTCGAGTTTCTTACGTAAAACATCCTGTTGAGGTAGCCATTTTGATATGAACACGTTTTTCGGTCTATTCGGTAGGTTCTCCGCTTCGAATTTCCACAAGACCATGTAAGGTAGTTCGGCGAACGTTTCAAGTATTGTTTCTCTTAGATCGATTGGTATGTCCTTGCTTTTGACATTCGAACCCAAACTAAAGTAAATGAAACCGGATTCGGCGTTATCTAGGAGTTCTTGCAGATCCTGTAAAATGTAACGTAGTCCAATACGGTTATGGCCAAGTTACTTACGGTGGGCAATAGCCGTGCTGGCTTTAAGTGTGATCCTCCGCCAATCTGAACGACAGTTGGAACGAAAGGCCTGACTCTGTGGAGGATCGGGTCAGTATTCACAAAAATCATGCTGACGTTATATATGATATCGACCAGAGACGGGTAATTTGGTCCGAAGTACTTTTGCGCCATGCTGTTTGCTGCCAAATAAGCGTGGATTCCGTTCACGTTCATCAAGCAAGTGATTATGACGCTAGTCAACCTTTGTCGGAACGTCAAGTGTTCGTCATAAGGATAGTACACATCCGGATATAATATGGGATGCGTCGGATTTCCCATTAATTGATGTAAACGAGATGACATATCCAAGGATATTATGTTAATCACTGGACATTTGAACTTTGCAGCAAAGGGGAGGAAAGGCAACGCGATCACCTCGATTATTACAAGATCAAACTCATCGTCGCCGTGTATCAGTGCTTGAACCTTCGGGTGGCGCAATTCTTCGTCAATAACATCAAATGCTTGTTTCATTAAATTATTAATGAGTCCAATCGAGTTTCCTTGAAATTTTAACGCGGTTACCATAATATCCTTATTCCAAGTCTCGTAGGCGAAGTGCAAATCGATTTCGGTCAGGTTTGTAAGCTTGGGATCATTGATTGGATCCGTCGTAAGCGTTGTCACCTGATGCCCACGAATCGATAGCTCTCGCCATAGTGGCTGAAATACCACTTGATGACTGTAAGATGGAAGCGCGACAATTCCCAGAATCCTTGCGGCCCGTACCACTGTTAACAGGTTGATTGCACACACGAGCAACATTATTATACGAGTACTATCGCCGATCAAACTAGATTGAATTCAATTTTGCTTATCGCGACACTTCTAGGCGTGAGTGTGCACTATTTATATGTACTTACAATTGATAAAGATATGTGCGTTCGTATTTAAACTGGAAGTTAAGCAGCCCATTCCAATATATTGTCCCGATAAAGTTGGAAACCACTGGGCAATGCTTAATCGATGGTAACAGGCATTTGATTCTGGTTCGGAAGCGGCCCCATGAGATCTAGTGCTACGAATTGCCAGGGTACCGTTGCAAGTTCTTAGCATTTCATGGGTGCTGGTTTTAAGGGGGGCGATAGCCTTAAGCAGTCTGATGTGTGTTTCCACGCTTCATTGTTGACCTTTTCGACTGTTGCTACCAACACCGGGTGTTCCTGGCTCGATTTTATACCTTCCGAAATCTTTACCACGTTCGGGAGTGCTCTCTTTGTGATTGTGGGACGAGAACTGTTCCTAAAGCCACAGGGCTATCATTATACTCTTGTGGTTTTATTTTTATTTATTTTTCTAGATTTAATATAATGCACTTTTCTTTCTTTAATAGAACGTAATTCTGTATTACGTTTATAACTTTTGTTAGGCCTCTGTCGTGTTCTTCTTCCGAGGACCCAAACATGATGATGCCATCGAGGTAGTTCGAGTAATTTTCGCTCCACCAGCAGTTCTTCAAAAGTACATTGCAAAATTTCGGGTGACGGGATCAATTTTTATGGCTGGTAAATGTGGTGACCGCTCGACTGTCTTCTAATTCTAATTGATCATATGTACCTTCCATGTCCAATCGGGAAAAATATTTGGTGTTTCTTATTTGGTCACGACTGATTCAAAAGTATGCATTGTAGTATGCATTCCCAGTTTTAATACTCGAAGTCGCATGGCTGTGATTTATTTGTTTCACCAGACACCATACAAAATAAAATTCGAATTACATGGCACTGGGGCTCTGAACAAATATTAGGACTTAAGATCTAACTTGATTTATTATTGCATTTAGGGGATCGTAAGTCGATGTCATTCACTGAGGATAACTTATTTAAAGTGATCAAGATCTTAATAAGTGGAGAATGACGTAGAATGATGCAATGAGTTCCTTTCTAGTTTGATACTGACACTGGTCGTAAAATTACATGTGGTGTCTAAAGGTTTGTTTGATCCATACGGGGTTAGCATATTTTCTGCACTTACGCTGGTACCCCAAACAGCTGCATGTTATAACTGCAGCCTATGCCAGTCCTGTCGAGTTTGCTTTTGATCCCGAATCTATTGCTGTGCTTATTTCGTCCGGCAGGATGAAATTTTCGGACATCCTAATTAAGATAGACAAGGGCGCTCTCATTTTTATGTAATTAACATTTGTAATTAAATTTTATTAATTTGTTGTTGGTCTATGTAACGGCATGGGGATTATTTGTGTCATACGCGAAAGCGGTCAAGGTGTTTACATTGTTATTTTATTTAACGTAGAAATTTCCGGGAATTTTGTTTGGTTTTTAACTGTTATCAAATGTAAATGCTTAATTTAATTGACAGGTGGATTTAAGTTTAGAATTTTTCGGTCTATTAACGTACGTTAAGGGGATAGTCTTTGTTGTAAACTGTGTATGATTGGTTGTTATAATTTTGATTTTCGTAAGAAGGGTTTCGCCGTAAATAGGACGTTAAGAAGAAAAGCGTCTCTTTTTGCCACAGTCAACGCGGAACTACGTTTCTTTGAAAATTTAAATCAGTTTTTTTTTTGCTTCGTTCAGAGCAGAGTTACGTTGCGTTGAAGATTTGAAATCAGATTTATTCCAAGTTTAGGGCCATAGTGCGGCCAATTTAAATCAGTTTTTTTGCCAGAGTTTATGCAGTATTACGTATCGTAGAAGAATTTATTTCGCTTCTTGCGAGTTCCGTCGTCCCATTATTTGTTTTAAAGCCACGGCTAGTGTTGAAAGTTTCGTTCAATGTGAGATTGAAGATAGAAGAAGTTTCGTTTGTGAAGCCGGAAGCCGAATTCGCGGCTAATTATTATTCTACGTTTTGAAGTTTTGGCCATCAAAGGTGTTGCAAGGAGAGGTGCCTGGCCGCGCTATCATAAGTGTGTTGTCAACGTGACTCAGTTTGAAGTTGGTTTTTTTAATGGAACGTCCTTATCTACCCGAAGAGAAGATGCTGCGATTACCCGAGGTCGTTAGTCTAAAGTGTGTTCATTGAAAATTGTAATTTTCGTGTAGTGTGTCCGTACACAGGTATCCATATACCTTTTATGTGGATTACAATTCCCGGACAAGTAATGTAAGTAGTTAAGTCTTACTTTTAGTCTATCTGTAATAATTGTTTGTGTTTGTGTACCACTTTCCTTTTTTTGTGTTAAGATTAAATCGCATTTTTGTAATTGTCACATTAATTTCCGTGTGTTTCATTCACAACGACGTCTTTTCTAATTTACCTGTTGTTTTTATTGGATGCTTGCCCAAGGTCCATTTTAGTTATTCAAAATTTTGAAGTTCAGTTTGGAGTTTAAGGTATTTGGTCTGCCTCACTATCTGTTAGAAGTTAACAGGTTAACTGAAAGCAGAGTCGAATCTCTCCTCTTTGCAGGGGAGAAGTATTGTGCCGTGTTAAGTAAAGAGAAAGAGCTAGCTAGGTTTTTGTTTTGGTGTTTTGTGTACGGTCTTTCTGGCCTACGGATCAGTGCATACAAGACTATAACCCCTCCAAGGTCAACATTACACACCTCACTGGCGTATTCCTCTGCATTGGTGGTGGAATCCCCTTGTTGCTTTGCTTTTCGTGTCCGTTCAGCTGTCTGGAAACATTCAAACTCGTGGATTCTTGGTTCATCCTCTTTTCCTTTGCCGGTTGACTGTAAACTTCAGTTTTCTTTTATTTCCCGGTGGTCCCTTTTGTGTGGTTTTCCTGGTCTTATTAACGCGGTTATCACATTTCGTCCTGAAGCGTGCAGCCAAGTGCCCCACACGTCTGACATTTAATCTTCCGTGCTGGGCAGTTACTATCGGACACCTGATGGTCATTTTGCCCACAGCGAATGCATTCTCCCTGCCCGTATCTATTACGTCTCTGATTCTTCTGTTGATTTCGCTGGTGGATGCCGTTGGTTTCGCATTTGATTGTCGTGGTTGTTGCATGATCTTGGACTGACTCGTAATTTCTTCGTGCCCCAACATGTATCACTTATTTATATCAACGTGTGTTCTTTCTCTTTTCAAGTCTGTTAATACCCAGCTTTTGATAAGTTTATCTTTCAGGCTGATCTCTACGACCCGTTGCGTGGTTTCTCCGGAACTTGGCAACTTGCTTCATTGAATCATTGAAAGCGACTTCTTGTAGCTGAACTACACCGAAGTGCAATAGTTTGCTTTTCTTCTGTGCTGGGTGATGAATATCTTCTACCTCTAAGTATAATTTTAGTGCTTCTCCCACATGTTACGCAACAGAGAATGAATTCGCACAAAAATGGTTAAACTCCAGTAGTCTCTGCCATACTAACTTGAAAAAGAAATACGTACTCAGGTTCTAGGTCGTTAATACCTCTATATCTGCGCCCTTTAGTCGCTAGCCTTTCTACTTCTACTCACGTCAACATGGATGCTGGTTATTTATTTTTATCGCTACCTCGACCGCTAGTTAGGTCATTTGGCCTTGCTTACGAAACACAAAACTACACTAAGTACACGTATACCCCATAATCCCCAATGAGGCCCTCGTATTTGTAATTGGACACTTTTTAATTATTCCCTAAATATCAATATTGATAAATTAAGACATTATAGTCAGTTTGGCGTAACGGTTTAAAACTCGGACTGTAACCTCATAGGTGGTGCGTTCGAATCCCATAACTTGTCAGTTTTTGGTGGTGTAGAATATTTCTATCAACTTTTTCGAAATAGTCCGGTCAAAATAACAAAAACTCCGACAGAGCTGAATTTTGATAGAGACCTTGTGTATTTATTTCGTGGAAATGAAGCGGATGAAGATTCTTCATCCAGCAAGAAGAAGGGGAAGAAGAAGAAATCTAAGAAGACATAATTGGTGAGGTCAAATTTGAAGAGTACGAATCAGATTAAAATATTAACAGGAATCAGAACTACAGTTTAAATCACCGATATATTAATTTCAAAATCAATATTCATCATGTCGTAAAGACAGTATTTTGCCATAAAAATCCGTCATAACAGATCGTGGAGTAAGCCTACCGGGGAAAGCACGTTAAAAAACGCGCCAAGTATACTACCTCACCGTCAGCGGTGTGGAAATGGGTACAATGTAACTCATTCAAAGGGCAATATCTTAGGAATGGTGATTCTTAAAGAAAAAGTATAAGGGTCATTTTATGATCTACAATTTTTGTCTGGGCTATATCTTTAATAAAACCTACCGTTTTCGAGAAAAATCCAAAAAATTTTGACATTGAATAACTTTTTAGCACACATGGGATCTATGGGGACTTTGGGCACCTTATTTCTACTGGTGTATCTAAGGTCTCTACCAAAATTCTCTGTCGAGTTTTTGTTATTTGATCAGTATTTTTACGTCTACTTTGACCGGACTAAAACATTATTAGTTGCTTTCTGTGTCACCAACTTACCTACTGTCAAATGCTTGTCATTAGGTTCTTATTCAGTAGGAATTGTGTTGGGAAAAGTTTACATGGAATGTATTAGAGAAAATTCAGAAATAAATTGATAAGGGTAAACCATGGTAAGTAGAACTTAATGACCTTCATTTATTGTTTCGTATGTACTTGAAAATGAGGCAAAATTGACACGCGTAGTTTAAGCTTTAGATACTGCTACAGTTTGGAGCGTAAAATTTTCATTTCTTTGCATGTACCAGTTCTAACGATTGCAGCTGAATTTGACAAACATACTGGGTTCCATCTAATTCTCTTACACACGATGTTTAAGCAATTCTTCCCATAGCTACCATGCATATAAACGACATAAGAGCAAAACCCGAAATGTCCACGGGAAAGGGAAAACAACAACA